TCCCATGGTGGAGAGTTTAGTCCTTGGTTGGTACAGGCAGTGGGTAGAGGTGGAGGAGCGGAGGTTTCTTAAGGTGGTGAGTGGGGTGAGGAGTTCACTGAGGTAGGCAGGGGCAGTTCCATGTATGCACTGGTGGGTAAGGAGACAGAATTTATATTGAATTCTGTATTGAATGGGCAGCCAGTGGAGGGATTTCAGGACTGGAGTGATATGGTCATATTTGCGCCTCCTCGTCAGGACCCGGGCAGCGCAGTTCTGAATATGCTAGAGCTTTTGCAGTCTCCTGCCAGGGATCCCGACGAGGAGGGCATTACAGTAGTCCAACCTGGAGGAGATAAAGGCATGGATCAACTTCTCAGCATCTAGTTGTGAGAGGGAGGGGCGGAGTTTGGCGATGTTTTTGAGGTGGAGGAAGGAGACCTTACAGAGGTGACGGATGTGAGTGTCGAATGTGAGATTTGAGTCAAGTCTGACTCCAAGGTTTGTAACAGAGGTAGACAGGGGAATGTGATGACCAAAAATGGATATACTGCTGAGGGAGGAGGACTGGGTTTGATGTGGGGTACCGATCAGGATGGCTTCGGTTTTGCTGCTATTTAGTTGAAGAAAGTTGTCAGCCATCCATGCCCTTATCTCCTCCAGGCAAACCTGAAGTGCAGATGGCAGAGCTGAGGGGAGTGTGGAGTCCATTTTTATGTATAATTGTGTATCATCTGTGTAACAATGGAATGAAACTTTGTGTTTATGGATGATGTTGGAGGGTTGGACCAAGGACGGACCCTTGTGGCACTCCACTGCTGACTGTGTGGGGTGATGATTGGGACTGTCCTAGAGCCACATACTCCGTCCTGGCTGTGAGATAAGACTGGAACCAGCCTAGTGTAGTCCCAGAAAGTCCTACCATAAACTGGAGACGGTGAAGCAGGATGTTGTGATCCACAGTGTCAAAGGCGGTCGACAGGTCCAGTAGGAGGAGGAGAGATGGTAAGCTCTGGTCTGCAGTCATAAGTAGGTCATTTGTGACGCGGACCAGGGCTGTCTCCGTGCTGTGTGCTGCTCGAAAACCGGACTGAAATTTTTCATATATGTTATGGATGTGAAGGTGATTGTGGAGTTGGGCTGCAACAACTTTTTCCAGGACTTTGGACAAAAACGGCAGGTTTGAAATGGGTCTGTAATGAGCCAGGATGTCGGGGTCAAGTGACGGCTTTTTCAGATGGGGGCGGATAACTGCAGTTTTGAGAGCTGGAGGAACCTGACCGGATTTGAGTGACTGGTTGAGGATTGCTGTGATCAATGGACTGATGGCTGTAATATTGGATTTTAATAATGAGACCAATCATTTTTTTACTCTTAAGTCAGTTCTCAGCAGTGTTCTTATGAGTTATTCTGAGAAGCTTGATAAATACAGGCCCAGATAACTATTTTGTCACCAAAAATAGTCAGTAACATTTGGGACCCATCACAGAATTCCCTAGAAGGATGCTTTACCAGGAATTACATTAATGTTGAGGTTGAAATATCCTGTAAAGCTAAAGCATAAGCTCAGTGAATGTACACAATGTAGATGACTTTTTTTAATGTATTCTGACTGCTGTGAAGAGTCTTCCACTGTAAGACTGGTCTTTGATTTTCATTTATTTCAACATTTCATACTTTTGTTCACACAACTATACTAATAATTAAAAAGTAACATCTAGAGCTGGATGGTTCATTTTTATTGAAATCACAATTTTAAAAAGTATAATTTCAAAGCCACAGTTTTACTTACAGCTTTAGACATTTTAATTATAGCTTGCATAATTACCAATGTATTTATAAGCTGACAATATAGGAGATTCTCTGGGGGAAATTTGGGATAAGATTTGAGATCAGGTTAGCAAAGGTTTGTCTGCTGAAGAAGTCTAGTTAATGAGTCCTCTGTGGTCTCCAGGCTCCTTCAGCCCTTGGAGCTTTTAGACAGCACCAATAATTAAACACCATGGAGGACAAAAACAATTCCCTCTGGCTTTTCTGTTACTACTTTATCATCTTCATCTGTGAATGGTTCTGTGTATTATATGTTCTTTTCCAGGCACTATAACTGTACAGAATCACATTTTGGATAACCTCAGTATGGCTGCTGTATTCTCCTCAAGGCTTGCTGTTTTTGTCTAAGTGTGTGTGTGTTGAGTGTTGCCCCCTTCAATTCCCCGCCTCTCATATTACCATCAGATTAGAAGAGTTCAAGGAGTTAGGTAGGTAAGGTGTTTGGTGCTGTAGCCTGTCATAATGTACAGTATTAGTACTCCAATGAAACTGTAACATTATATGACAATAAATGCCTTGATTGTGCTTTGCAATGTACCTGTCTCATATCTCATGAAACGATAACTTATGTTGTGGAGTATTATAAAGAAATACAGCTATTTGATTTTAATGTTCTTTTGGTTCAAAAATTACAACTTTGTGTGTGTGTGGCTGCCATGACAATCAACATTTCCTTGTGAGATAACGATTTCATGTTTTGTTGTCAGGTCTTTGAAAGAAATGTTTTGCAGGTAGCAGTTTAGCAGCAATTTTCAATGACCCAGTATTTTTTCACAAACATTTAAGGATCATTTCTGTATTTATGAACCCATTTCCTATAATGTGTTGTCAAAATGAGTAGTAGGTACAAAACGCTTTGGAAACTGTGCAGTAGATGGCTTTAGCCAGCAGCTGCAGCCGTTGTCTTCCTGCAACAACTCGCCTCTCATGAGATTTCAGAGCGGGAATTGTTCTTGAGTGAGACTTCTGTTTCTTGTTAAAACAAAGGGTGTCACTGGGAGTAAGTTGTAGGGATCCTTTCCATGATGTTGTCAGACACCAGGTCTAACAGTCTGAGCCTATCAGTGGCAAAGGGAAGCACTTTTTGTAGACACAATTTTGACAGGTGTATTTGCCCAAAAGGAATACGTCACTGCAGCTGGTTTGCCAACATGTCCTCATATAGAAACGACAGAATAGGCTCATAGTTAATGTTTCCAAAACAACCTATATGAGTGTTTTTAATGACTTCTAAAACATTTTCTTCAAAATGACATATGAGTGTTCTGGTCCCCATTGCAACACATGGAGGTTAACCAATCGACATGCATACTATCAGGGTTTAGGCACACACCCCTGTGATGGCTAAGGTTATGGTTAGGGGCTTTGGGGGGCCTGCCAATGCCTTTAACAGTAGTTAGCTAGCGCTAACGTTAGCTAAAGCTAGTGCTAATGGTTGCTACTGCTACAAAAAACGGTACAAAGGCTAAGGCTACATACAACGCTACATAACGCTACCTAAAACGCTAAAAATAACTAACACTAATAATACTATAAAAAACAATAACTGATGTTGGCTTTTTGTTTCACACGGGAATCAAACTCCAGTCTCCTGGGTAATCATCTAACCATCCATCTGCCGCTCATAACATAAAATTCAGTCATTTTAAGCCCACAACCTATGTGGTCGTTTTGTGAGTGAAGATGGGCTGGGTTTGCGGTTGCCGGCTAAAGCCATCTACTACAAGGTACAAAAAACCTTTTGTACCTTGGGGGGGGGGGGTTTAAGCGCATTAGAAAACATAACTTTAGATGTCAGACGTTACCTGAGACCTGTGAATCAGTTTGGGAGTGACAACAGGTTTTAATCCTGCAATCGGAGTTTTGCTGGTAGGTGGGGCATCCCAGAGCTCAGGGATTGCATCTTTATTTCTGCTGTCTTATGGTATTTTGGTTTTGGGAGGCAACTAAGAAAAGTTAATCATTGTTATGAGTCATTCTACTTGTTGCAATGATATAACCAGATTATGACGAGTAATGTCCGTAATGTTTCTCACCATGATCTACAGCAGCTTGAAGTTGTGCTTGATTTGTGCTTTGATCCAGCGCTTTAGCAGCTTCCTTGTGGAGTTTACTGTCATGGTTGTGTGGACAGGTAGTTCTGAAGCTGGGGCCCATTTCCCAAATGTGATTTGCAAGCAGTGCTTACACGCAGATCTCAAATGGTGTCAGCCTCAGTTTCCACAAATGATTGTCTCACTTTTTTTTAGATAGGTTTGCAAGTCTTATAGAGCTCTGGCATGCTAATGCATGTGCTTCAAGTGTGACATTGGATTTCAAGTATGACTTATCACAGCATCCAGCCTCATCTGACAGATAGCACTTATGAATGAGAATGAGACAATGCAAAGTAATTTTGTTTAGTAGATATCACTGTGGGAAATTAAGTGATTCATCTAAGTAACAACAATTTAGCTCCTGCACACTGTTAACAATGTTTATTAAACACTTACCTCTCATTTGTGACCTTCATCAGAAAGAGCTGATTTCTTCTACTTTAACTTGTTTAAGTTGAATTGTTGAAATGTGTAGCAAGTAGCCTACCACAGCATCTGTGTATTAAGTTACAGATTACACTTGTGTTATGCAGATATTAATTCTGTCTGACAAATTCAAGCATGTATTTACGGTTTGTGTGTGAACCTGGCTGTCTCTAGCAGAATTGGCAGATCAAGAAATCAAGTTATTAGTTTAGCTATGTCATGTCTCATATTGTACACTGTAATCTTTACAGTTTGTGCTCAGTATAACTATTTTCTTGTTACACACATTGGAACATGCTTTTGGACAGAAATCTAATGTGACTATACCTTGAGAAGGTATAATTGAGAAGGTGTAATTACAGTAACAGGTTGTATTACTCAAATCATGTTTTCATGTTTTCCTCTTTAGATGTTTACCTGCAGGTTCTGCTTTATCATCGCTCAGGATCAGACAGTCAAAACACAGATGACACAGTATAAACACACATATAAAAAGGGTTAGGTGCTGTATATGTAGCCTACACATTGTAAATGTTTGTTGTCGGGATGCATACACACACACACACACACACACACACACAGACACACAGTAGCTTGCCTTCCCGATCCAAATGCGCGCGCACACGATGGGTTACTAGCGCGTAGAAGAGGGAGGAGGAGGGTGTTGAGCAAGCCCTCATCGATCTGTCCGAGAGAGAGATAAGAAAAGAATGGAAGAAAGCGCAGTGCCTGGCTGCATCTTTATACCAGCAGACCCCTCCTCTCCATCTCTCCCGCTCTCTCTCTTTCTCTTCCCCACCACCCCCACCCCCCTCTGTCTGCCTGCCAGCTGATGCTGACTGGAGGTGAAGCGGTTTTCCTTTCCTCTCGTCATCCCGGGAAACATTGACGGACAGATAGACTAACTGAGGTTTTGGATTTTGACACCGGCTACTACTTGGTGATGACAGCGGGAGGAAACGAATTTAAAAAAAAAACAAGCCAACGCCGACACATACATCCGACAGAAACCAAGAGTGCACAGTAACGCAGGGGAGAAACAACTTCCAGCGGTTGTGTCCACGGGGCGGTCTGCGGGGAGCTCTGGAGCTGTTGCCACCAGGAAGGTAGGATATTGCTCAACCTGCTGCAACAATGTACATTTACAACATGAATTTACATGTCCGTATAAGTGCATGAAGACATATGTGTGCCGGACCAACACAGTAGGCACTGCGTGTGAAAACGCGCATATGTCCGTCTGTACTCTGTCACTGTGTTTATGTTGAGCTGCTTCAGCTGAAAGGTTGCCATAACACACTGTATAGACACTGATGGCGCGTGGCCCCGCGCGTGCGTGACGTGTATTTCAAAGTGTTATATATGCGCCAATGTGGTGCATTTATGTGTATATGCAGTGCGCATGGTGCGTTTCAGTGCGTCTCTAGTTGGAACACCTGATTCATCTGGTGGCGCGTTTAAGTGACTGGTTGCATGGCAAAGAAATGTGGAAGTTTGCTGTATTAAAGTGTGTTTACTTCAAACTCCTGCTCTGATTTTGGTGCATTAGAGAGTGCTTGTAGCCTGCTGTTGTGTCTGTCTGGTGGAGGCTTTGTTTTTTTCTTTTTCTTTCTTGCAACAGTTTCTCATAGTGTCTTTATTTTAAGTGTGTTTCAGTAAGTAAGACACTTTTGCAACTGATCTTTGTGGAAGTGTGTTCATGAAAAACTGTGCTGGAATCAAATTCAAGACCATATTTGGAAACATTGACATAAATCAGTTAAGTCTTACTGTTTCTGACAGATTTAGAGAACTTGAGAACATTAGCACATGCTTGGTAACAGTTTGTTTTGGTTTATTGTTTTCAACAGGACATGCCCATATCTAATAGTCTTTAATTCATTTCACAGTTAATTATATGTTTTGTGAACAAATTACCTTACGTGATTTAGAAGGGGGAGTCAGAATGGCGATTCACATCCAGGTCAAACCCGGCAGAGTTTTGCTGTCAGGTGAACTTTGCATGTGAGAGATATAAATGAAGAGCGAGCAGCGTTGAAGGTCGTGAGGAAGAAGCCACACACGCATATTTAGTGTCCTCAAATCATCTGCTATACTCGTGATTCTGTCCTCACTTCTTTAAATTATTAACCTTTCCCTGAATTAGTGTTTACATTAGTTTTTGAGCCTTTTCCACACTTTTATCATTAGGAGACTTTCATAGATATGCAGTATATTTGAGTTTCATCAAAAGCAACTTCTAAATATTACAGTATAATACCAATCTCTTACCAGAAGATGCAATAGGTCTGCAACATAGAAAGCAAAATTAAAATCACACTTTTAGACAATGAATTTCTTTAACTAATATTAGATATAGATACATATTTGACCTAACAATTCTAACTCAAAATGACTTGCTTGTTGCGATTTAACTGCGCTGTTTTCATTAGCAGATTAACTTTGCTCAGTTGTAATGAATTGTATATATTAAAACTTCCATTATTCTAAGCACCTATAAATCTCCAGCATTGTCTCGCTGCAGATAAACATAGTCAAGCAGAATGATCCCTTAGTTCTTATTAAAGATGAAAGCATATTTGTGAGAGTACTGTGATGCCAGAGATGTGACATTTTCCAGTAATGACTAATGACTTGTAACTAATCCCACATAAAAGACCATCAACAGTGCTGTTCATGTACAAAAGGTATTTGTTGACAAAAATGCTAACAAGGCAGTCAAGTGATAGCTAAGAGAGAGCAGCAACAATATAAGTAATACAATATGTTGTCATACTTAATAAACTGTTTTGCATCAAGGCTCAGCAGTTAGCTTGCACTCACTAGGAGGGAAAGCTGGCTCACTTTTGCAGTTTGTTGTCATGAGCCAGGGACAAACCTGCTGACGTGCAGATAGAACAGCAGGATAGAAAGAGAGACGTGACATTAGAGAGGCCAGTCTGCATTCATAGATCTTCAAAGAGGAGTATCCTGTTGCTTAATTTAAGAGCTGAAAGTTTTCTGCTATGGCTGGATAATCAGCCCTGGCATCTTTCACTGTTTACGGAATGTGTTCCCTCTCTCTGTGAGTGGGGGAAAGGTTTCTGTTTGTTTTACTTGCATAGAAGTTATTGTCCACCAAAGCAAAGATGACCGTCCTGTGGCATTCAGCTGTTTTCCCTTTAGACTTAGAGCAGAGTCAGTGGTGGAAGAATTATTCAGATCCTTTACTTAAGTAAAGATACTAATACCACACTGTGAAAATACTCCACTTAAAGTCAATTCAAAACCTTACTTACATAAAAGTAGGCTATCTAAGTATTATTGGCAGTGTTTTACTATTAGATATGATGCTTTTGTATTAATGTTAATGGTCCATTTATGTGTAGGTTGCATTTAACAGCTATAAATCTTTATGGTTGTGCTAATTTGAACTACTTTTAATATGTTTGGGTTTAATCTATGGCATCATCATACTCATATTCTGTTATTCTATACCATAGTCTAAATGCTCATCATATGTTTTTTTAATTGTTGCTGTCTTGTGGTAACTACATGCAGCATGCAGCATCCAGCAATAGTGCAGAAGAGCTGCTTTTTGTCACAGTGGAATCAGATGCAGCATAGGACATTTGTTGTCAGTGATGTCCAACAAGTTCTATGTTGTGCTGAGTTTTCCTGCAACAGACACAAAACAGAAAGCGGGATTGTGTCTTAAATGTAACTGTAACCATTTGGACAACCGTGAGCAAGCTGAGGGGTTGAAAATAAGCAGAGACTACATCTTCCCCCACAGTTTACCTGAACTGTATGGACTTATTAACAACTGTTATGTATTTCCTCTGAGGAGGAACAAATGCTTCTTCTGCAACAACCTAATCTCTTGTATGTATCTCCAGTTAGCAATAATGAATATGAATTCTTGCTTGTCCACTTGTCAGTTCAATCATGTAGTAGTAATGTGTGGCTGTATTTTGAGTTCTACACTGTATATCAAACAATTACCAACAAAGATGAGGCTGTTTGCTGACTTTGCAAAAGCAGTTGCTTACTCTACAATGACAACAAATCTGAAAACTCACCTGCCGGTATGCTACACTTGTGAGGCAGAGGAGGCACCAGACACAAGTGGAGAAACGTCTACTGTACAACTAAATGCCTCCTTTTCGTTACAGTCATCATCAGAAACTTCTCAGAACCTCATAAAACAGCCATCACTGACAAGATAGCAACATTTATATGCAAGGATATGTGGCCCATTGGCAACACATTTGTTGTTAATTTAAATTGTTGTTGTTCCATTGTTATTTTTATTTTCATTTTTTTTTATATTGTCAGTTGTATTATTTTTCTCCATTCTTTATTCTATAACTTGCATTTGTTTATTACATATTTAAATATTTCTACATCTATTTATGTCAGCTGTATATCTGTCTGCGTGTAGCACCGTAACACCAAAGCTAATTCCTTGTATGTGTAAAACACTACTTGGCAATAAAGCTCCTTCTGATTCTGATTCTGTTTCGGGAAAAGGTTCTCTGAATAATGAATTAATTGAAACCAAAATATAAAAAAACAATTAGCAGTTTTATAGTTTAAGACACCACATCGAAAAATATACAAAAATATACGGGGGAGCATTACACTATTGGGGTTTAATTCATTCAAATGAATTAGGCGTTAGTTGTAAATCCTTCCTGTAGGAACACTTTGTAACATCAATTTGTATTGTTTACCTTGAACCTTGTCATGATGAAAAATAAAATCAACCCCATTTTCCAGGGTTGTAAAATCCTATCTCATAATATTTTAAACCTCTGTGCAGTGTATTGCGATCTGATAAGCCTTCATGGATCAGTTACTCAAACTGGACTTCCTGGCTCAAATTTCATTGTCTCACCAGTGCCTCTCCTGCTGGGCAAAATGTGACTTAATGGTTTCTTAGACACCTTAGTTACATATAACCCTTGTTTCAGCAGCATTCAAGTGACTAGATTGCAATGTAAAACAGTTTCTAACACAAAACTAAAATTAAGTCATGGAAATTCTTTTATAATTCTTTTAATTCTGTTATACTGTGTAGAAACTCTTTCAATAGCTTTAAGCTGTCTTGCTGTGTGACATGACTCAGCAGGAAGACCCCACACTGACAGAATACAACGAGCAGGGATGTCTGACCAGAACGTCCCCAGTTGATGTCCAGCTGGTTACATTTGTTGCTATTCACCACCACTCTGTCACCATACAGTTGATAAAAAAACATCGCTCATGACATGATGAATCAGAGAAGACATTTTCATTCATTAAAATAATACAAATCCCATCTGAGCTTGGAAACGGTAATAAATCAGAGTTACGACTGCTCGATTAATTATGTCATCTTGTTGCATCCTCTTACACATTACTGCACTGATCCGCATTTTATTTTTGCAGACTTTTCTGGAAATATGCTTAAAACTTGACAACATTTGGGTGGACACATAATTACTGAAATTACTTTAGGGAACATAACTTAGACTCAGCATTTCAAGTATAAAGACAAGCTGCTATTGATTTACTTTCCTACATGCACCTTGTGCTGTTACATACAGTTATAGTACTAAAACCCTCAGTCTCATTAGTCCTCCTTTGTCCTCTCACACTTAGTAGAAGTGTTGGCTGGCCCACCCAGAGTGGCACTGCATCCTTACATGGACACACACTTCAGGCTCTAAGTTTAACTGCTTATTCATCAAAGCATAGGCAGCCAAAATACACACTGCAACACACGTGCGCACACACACACACACACACACACACACACACTCTGCTGGTGCAGCAGAGATCGATCCTGGAAATCAAACCACACTGTATCTAGATGAGGACGATGGATGTGAGAAGGGAATGAGGAAAGGAAAAAGAGATGTTAACAAAGAGGGAGGAAGAGATGGAAGGAAAGGAGAAGAAAGAGAGAGATTTTACAGCATATTTATCCCATGTGTTTTGAGCATGGCAGTAACCCTGGGGAAATTCAACAGCATAGCAGAGTTACTTTGCTGTTTTGATTTGATGAATATTCATGATCAGGCAGAGAGAGAGGGAGTGAGCCTGGATCGTGGCAGCATTTTGATGTGTTGTTGCTGCAGCTCACATGAAGGGTTGTTGCAGAGAGTATTGGCTCTATAACCAAAGCCTGATATGGCTTATGTCTATAGTAGTGCCATGGACCGCCGCTGTTGACCAGAAACAATTAAAAACATATTTAAAGACATGTTCCTTAATTACGATATGCACTGTAGTTTATTTTGAATCAGTCTCACGGTTCAATCCATATCCAGGTCCCGACCCGAGGTTGATCATAATACATATATATATATATATATATATATATATGTTTACGACATATATATCTTTCTCTCTTTTCACTACATTAACATCCATAAATATTCATAAAATAGTCATCCCCACACCCCATTCCCATAGTCTTTCTCTCTCACACATGTTGGCGTAAATATATATTCATCTTCACGTGGCAGTGCATTAATATTAAATTTTATGTTGCCAATTTCTCTCTCTCATTTTCTTTACAGTTCGCTTTATTTCATTTTCTTCCATCCCTGGACTTCCTTTCTTCCTTCCCTGCCTCCCCATCTACTCCTACGTATTTCCTTGCTCCTCAAGCTTCTTCCTTCCTTCTTTCCTTCCTTGCTCTCTTTCTGTCTTTTGATCCTCCTCTCTTTGTGCTTTCCTTCATTGGCCATTTCTTCCCTCCCCCTGTTTATTCCTTTACCTCACCGTCTCTTCTTTCCTTTGTTCCCCCTACCCCCCTTTCCACTCCTTAAAGCAACCTTTGTTTACATTTCACAAAGCAGGAAGCAACATTGTAATATGACATTGTAATACTTAGAAGGGGGATGAAAAGTCTTTCATAAAAGTACAGGGTCGTGGTGGGTAGATTGAGGTTACAAAGAGTGCTGTTAACACCAAAAATCAAAGATTGCATCATGTGTCCTATTGTTAAGCAACGGTCTTGCTTTATCCTTAAACAGTTTACCTAAACCTTCTTTCTGGGAAACTTTTGCTCTAACAATACTAATAGTGTGCAGTATTAGTCATTACCACCAGGATTTTTATATTCAGCTGTGAATATCTATCAATCCGTTAGCTATACCAACTTATCCTAAAGAGATTTGCTGGGGGCTGGAGCCAATCCCAGCTCGCACTGGGTGAGAGGCTGGTAGTCTACCGTTGACAGGTGATCAGTAGAGACAGACAGTGATTTACACTCACAATCACAGCCACTGGCAATTTAGAGTCACCGATTAGCCCTGCATTTTTTTGTTGGAGGAAACAGAAGCACCCGGAGAAAACCCAATGCATTATTTCTGTGAGGAAGAGGTAACCACTGCACCACCGTGCAGATTCGTTGGTTGCCACATACTTTGGCGTTGTGATTATGTGTTCAGCAGGGCTCACTTTTTTCCTCCATTGTATGTTATCAAAGAGGACAACAATAGCCTAGCCAATAGTGACGTCACAGTGTCAAGTATAACCACTGGAGGTCAGCAAAAACAAGATTTGTGTCCAAATTGCAAGATAAAGTCACAGCCATAGTAAGTCTGGGCTCATTGTTTACAGTAGCTAAATCCTGATATTGCATTTGACAATGTTTGTAGTTGCGACACATTGACTTTTTCCTTATTTCTGGTGGGTGTAAAACTCTTTCCCTTCTCTCTGTCAGAGATGGAGTTTTCGGAGGACTTCCTGCTGGCTCAGCTGGGTCACCTGCAGTTCGACAACGAGTCGATTTTCCAGAACAACTTCAGTGGTTCTTACAACGATACTGCCTTACTGCCAATGGGGGTGAAGGTCACCATTGTGGTCGTCTACATGATTGTCTGTGTCATCGGCCTGGTGGGAAACTTCCTGGTCATGTATGTCATCATAAGGTAAGAGGAACATGAGTTTCTGCAGGTGCATATTACACAGAATTTAACTTGTTTCTGTAATACATCGTGTTCCAAGAATGTTGTAGGACCAACAACAAGGCTAGCTTCTATAAAACTGTTGATAGAATTCGACTTGCATTGGAAACAGGGAAAAATTATCTCTTTATGTCTTAACTTACACAGAGGACAGAGGATAGTTTTGCAGTAAGCCTCAATTTTCAGTTTTAGCCCACTCTTTTATAGTCTCAACACATTAATAGCTGAGAAACCTTTACACCCCAGACTTCCAGTTTAGTGACAGAACATGTTTAGTCATTCCTCTAAATCAAAGGCTTTGTAATCAGGAATGATGATATGACCACTGTTGCTATAGCAATCCACACTGAAAGGATTGAATACTTCAAATAATACATCTATAAATAATCCAGTGTAAACATATTAAGGGGTTATTAGATCTTTTGAGCCGTTTGTTAGGATTCTGGGTTTTTTTCAAGTTACAGGTCAGTGTCACAGCTGCTCTGTCTCACCCGGTCTGTCAGATGTTCACTCACCGTCACCACTGCCTGTCCATACTGGTGCTGCGTTATTAGTCCATAAATCAATATATTGATTGAAAGAAAATTATTAAGTGTTAATCTTGATAGTAATTTAAGTCATGTGTCAAGTCAAATCACCAAGATTTGCTTTTCTATACATCTTTTCACTATATCTATATACTGATCTGTATCTGACTTATAAGCTCAAATTCATCCTCAGCACTGCTCCATTGATTATTGTTTATTTCTGTTTACCATTTTTATAATTGCTTTTGTATTAATGTATATTGTCTGCTGTGTAGCAGAAGGGAGTTATAGAAATTCATTTTACTATATAACTTGTTATATTGTGACAAATAAATGTAACTACCTACCTATCTGCCTACCAAAGCAAACAAGCCACCCTCAGCATGTGTCTGTGTGTGTGTGTGTGTGTGTGTGTGTGTATATGTACATACATGCTTGATTGGGTAGATATGTTAGTGGAAAGCCTTGCAGACAACTGCACAGGTCATTTGTGCCACTGTCTTTTCTGTGTGTGTTTGCATGCCCACACAGATTATTCCCCGTGGATCTGATTGAAAAAATCGCAGGTGAACACATGGGTGTTGTGAGGGTTTGTATATCTGTGCAGTCATGGTTGGCCTGGTGGGCAGCTGCTATCTGTTCTTGTATATCATATTGAACCTGTGTGTGTGTGTGTGTGTGTGTGTGTGTGTGTGTGTGTGTGTGTGTGAGACTCTGCTATTGAAGCTTGACATTGGTTTGCTCGTGACACTCGCCATATCAATGTATGTACCTAAAATGGTAGAAATTTGTCCACCAGTAGAGATTTGGCAAAACCTTTTCCACGGCAGGAGATATTGCTTTTGGGGAGGGTTTGTAGCAAATTAGGGCTGCATTTTAACATGATCTTGCGAATCCAGCTGCCTCGCAAGGTAATGTGATTTAGGCAGCAGGACTGCTTACCACGTTCTCACGTGACATATTGCAGTTGGTTGTGGTAATGCATCTCTAAGTTGGTTTGCCTACAAACCTCACTGGTGTTATATGGGGTTGAAATCTGGTGACTGTGAAGGCCATTTACCACTCCACCCATTTATTCAGGGTTTACTTTAAGAGGCAAGTGACTTTCTGGAGGTTGAAAAAAAAATAATCTTGTGATATCCGTGAGATTATTTTTTTAATTATTGGATTTTAATTGACCCACTGTGGGTTTAATCCAAGCTGCACATTTTTTTTTAATTACTTCTTCTGAGATATATAGTCTCCCAGATTCCCATATGGTGCAACAGACTGAACCGTCAACAAGTAGCAGCAAGATATTAATGTTGTTGTTTGGCTACTTCTTGCATGATATCAAACTTGGCATACAACTTCACAAAACACTGTACTGGTGATTTGAATCAGATGTCTCCAAAAATGGAATTCACATTGGTAATTTCACTCAAGACATGTGTCAGCTAAATTATAATTATTTGTAGTCCTGTCAACACTGCCATAAAATGCATGAAACGTTATGTTCTTCACTCATGTGTACTCTATTATATGTTATGTTATTAAAGGTTTTATAGTTAATAGTTAGTAAGGTGTTAAGATAATTACAGTTGATTTCAACCTAGTGAATATATCCTATATGTGGCTATTGTGGTTCTATGGTTCGTGCAAATTCTGCACTTACCACCTCTCTTGTAGAGATTTGGATAAATCGGGGCAAGCCTTCAACAGATTTCCAACATGTTTTTTATGTTAATCTTTTCAAACACACAGGTAAACACAGAAAGTAGCCGTGTGGAACGGCCATATCCAGATCCTGGGCAAATTGCACATCTAGTTATTGTGTGTAGCAATGAATAGCTTTTCAAAATTATAAGATACTCATCATGCAGTTTTCATCAGCCAACAGGTCCACTGAATGATAGAAATTCCAGTTGTGGCTTAAACGGGTATTGTCTCCATGTTACCTCCATTGGGAATCATTCCATCCGTCTCCACACCTTTTTTGCACCCACACATACTTGCACACAAAACACGTACTCACTCCTTCTGGAACACGTGTGGATATTGTAGTGCAGTGAAAAATATTAATAGAAACTTCCATTAATACTACATAAACATTTTTAAAGTTAAACTCCGATCTTGATATGCATGTTTCCACACCAGTGAAAGCTGGATATTAAAGGCAAGCAGTATCAACAGTCCCATTGCATGTTGGCATAGTAAGCAAGCCTGAGCTACAGTCCACAGCCAGACCCTTCTCAAGTTTTCTGAACACCCACATCTAGGTGGCGATCAGAAGGCTAATTGTGTGAACATAAACACAATCTAAAATACTACAAATCCAAGAAGAATTGAGTAGGTATTTTGAGGTGTACAAATGGTATCCACTCTATTGGTCACACGTTTTATAGCCATATAAAAGATAAATATAGCAGGTCTAAATGATATGAGAAAAATCTAAAATGTGCGATAATGTTCAGTATTGCGATGACGATATGACTTGCGGTAAATAAACACATATTGAAGTGTGCATATTAACTGCATGGTTGTTTTTAAGTTAGAATTGAGTATTTCAACTACAACTAAATGGTGTTTTATAGATCAGCAAAATTAAACTTTACATCAACAAAATCACTATAAACTTAATAAGATCTCAGTGGAAACTTATCTAATGTCAATAAAATAAATCATATTCCAGCCGTTTAGAAAGAATAAAGAACTCAGATCAAAAATCAGACCGTATCCATGCTTTCACCTTTCTCCTTCTCCTCCCTGCTGCTGCTGTGATTCGATGCCTGCAGTTAACGCTGGTAGAGAAAAGAAGGATTGGTTTGTCTCAGCCAGCAGCTCAGTTTACAACAATGTGCCAAATTTTAAGGTACTTGGCAAACTAAGTTAAACAGACTACAGACAGGCAGCTTTTGTTTTAGCTTGTTTCTAACAACTCGCTATTAGCCAAGCTAGCGTGCAGTGCTTGTGTACAGCATAGAGGACCAGAGAGTGTATTGAAAAGTACTGGCTATTTACTCACAAAGGTTTTATTGCAAGTACTTACAGTAACGAGTGTAGTTGACATCAATTCGAAGTAATCTTGGAGTTATATTAACTTCACCTTCACTTCACTGTCTCCACCGCCTCTCTACTCTGCTGGCCACTGTGTGTGTGTGTGTGTGTGTGTGTGTGTTGTCGTCTGATGAAGCGTATATGTTTAAAACATGTACTTTATTGGTGTTAACAGATGTTGCAATCTAGGAGCTGCATGCAATGTGTTAACCTGCTTATTTACCAACAAGATAGAATTAAGCTGTAATTAATGTTCATATGCTCCTGTTGATTAAGACTACTTATATGGAGTTTTTATATGTTTTTCTGTTATTTTGACTATTCATACCTTCTGGCACTGCTGCCTTTACCTCCTTACTTACTCCCTGTGTTGACCAACATGTTCAAGGTTGGAGATATAACCTACTAAACTCCTCATTGCCTTCAGTTTTCTTCACGTCCTACTTACAGAGAACACAAGTATTGCAAGTATTGCTAGGTTTAATTATTAATTAATAATTAATAAACGTACTTATTCTATAGATTTTTGCTGGAGGACCCAGTGACACTTGTCTTGAAGCTGAATGGAGATCTGATGTGGCTGGCTCACCCTTTAGCATTGGGACTAAACCCAAAATACTCCCAAACAGGACAAAGGCAAATAAACACCATATATTGTACTGTACCTTCTCTGTCCGAATGTCCTGCGTTTAGGTCAGAATCCCTTGTTTTTTGTAAATGTGACAGGAGAATCTGTATTTTTGACGGTAATAATGACAGAGACCAAGTTATTTTAATAATTTTGTACATGAAAAGCTGTGGATATGTGTGTTTTACACCACTTATTATAAATACAAGATGGGGCCCAATGTGACTCTGCTAGGCAGAGTGCTGAGGTGATGGATTGGGGGTAATTACCTGGGATTGACTCATATCTTAGCCATGAGGGATGTAGCAGGTTTAGGAGCTCAAGTCCCATAACAAGGGGCTGCCTGACTAACTCACTTATTCAAGTAGAGGTAGGAGCTGTCCTGAATACCATTTTTGGGGCATTTTACACTGCATAAATTAGCCTTGCAGCGTGCTGACTTTTCCTCTACTCATCGCTTAACAAATAATATATTTTTATTCTTTTTTTTACTCACTGTTGGTTTAAGTCACTGCATCTCCTGACAGGACCCCATGGTTGAATTTCAGCTTTATGTAATGAGTAACTTCCACTTCACCTGCCTCTCTTCTTTGGGTTTACTGCCACCATCTTTGTCAGTCAAATTGTCCATAGTGAGTCTGATAATGTTACAGGGGTGCAATGCTAAATCAGTGGAGTACTTTTGAAGGCTACGTTTATGTCTGGTTTAATTTGTAAATGGACACCTTGAACTTTATTTTGTATCGGCTTGCTAGGCAAAATAAAGGGTTAGA